AGTCTTGTTTTGTGATTTCTTTGAGTCCTGTCCTAAGTAGACCTGTTCTCAGAGTGTGGATTTGTTTTTCCTATTTGTTTATGTTTTGAATCTTTTTTGTTTCTTGAATTTTTCAAGGATTTTGGCTCTGTGTGTTGAGTTCGAGTTCACAAATCTAGTGAGCCAGCCCATCTTGTCTTATGGCCGGTTGCCGAGGACAGGCTGGTCGATCGATGGTGGAACTCAGTGTCTCAAGCATGACGAGATCGAGATCCCCTTGGCGTTTCAGAACCAAAGCCTTGTGGTTCGAGCTCACATCAGAATGATTCGCGAACCTGGCTCGATTCGCACGCTGAGGGTGAGACTTGGTTCAGAGCTTCAGGAGACGGCAGTTGGCCGATATGGTTGGCAGAAGAAAGGAAGTTTTTGGTTGGGAATGCATTCCAGCCGACACTATCAGACCCCTCAGTTCGTGCCGGAGTTCAGGGACCAGATTGAAGGCCTACGCAGGTCAACTCTGGTGGAGCGCCGTGGACAATGGGAATTGGTGGAGATGGCTGAACCGCTTGATGGGCTATGGGAACAGGAGGAGCCCATTGATGAGTTGAAAGAGGAAGAGATGAGCAGGGTGATGACTTTCATTGCCCCAAGCGGGACGGTGCCGGAGACCTTTGGTTTCGAGGCGATGGATGGGTTCCACTTCGAGTCAAGTCCTGAAAGAATTGAGGAGTTGGCAGTGCCCGAGGCGATGGACGATGAGAGCTTTGAAGGAATGGACATTCCAGGAGGAGAAGGTGGAAATGGTGTGAGCCTTGAAGATCAGGAAGCACGATTGGAGGTTGGTGTGAGGCCGTCCCTTCTCAGCTTCAAGTGAGCGGGATAGCGCTGACCTTAGACAGCCCTCTTCGAAGTCTTCGAGCTGCCTGCGCCTTCTATCGCATTGGGCAGAGTGGAGGAAAGCAAAAATGCTTCAACAGGCTGATGTCACACCAGCACCAATTGGAGCTACTCATGGCCAGAGACTTAGCAGCCCAAGGAAGAGCTATGGAGGAACGCATCCCCTTGGAGCAGGTGTCAGCCCGAGAACCTACTGCTGAGGAGAGACGCCAGCATGAACTCACGCACCTACCTTACCAAGCATGGTGCACTGCCTGCCTGAAACATCGAGCACGGCAGGATCAGCATAGGAGGACGGGCAAGTCTCATGGACAAGGATGCCCCACGGTGTCATTCGACTTCTGCTACGTGAAAGCTTCAGGTTCAGGAGCAATTGGAGAAGAAGCAGAGGATGGTGCGCAGACTGGACTGGAGGTGGAACGTGGAGCACTTTGGTGGTCGCTGTCTGCTCACAGACAGGGTGTTTGCTCGCCCTGCCTGTGAAGTCGAAGAACCAGATGAGCCTTATCACCCACGGTCTTAGGCCACGAGGAAGTCCAGTACTACAGCGACAACGGGCCCACACTGCGCCAGATTCTGAAGCTCCTGGTGACAGCAAGATCATCAATGGGGCTTAAGACGACAATGAGGACGACCAAGATCTGTGACTCGGCCGGAAATGGGTTGGTGGAAAATGCCATTCAGAGGGTCAGATCTTTGGCAGCAACTCTCATGGAAGACCTGACCGAGAGGATCGAGCTGAGGTTCCAGAGCCAACGCCCGATTTGGAGTTGGGCACGCAGGCATAGCGCATGGCTTATCAATCGATTGCAGCCATTCCACGGGTCCACAAGCTATAACTGGCTCATGGTCGATCCTACGAGGGCAAGCTGTGCAACTTCGGGGAGATCTGCTTTGCGTACTGCAAGCCGAAACAGGGCTATAAGGGGGATCCCAAGTGGAGGATCGGCATCTACTTGGGGAAGACGGAGATTCAGGACAATTGGGTGATTGGGGATGTCAACAGGGTCTATTTGAGCAGATCCATGAGGAGGATGGCTGGCGCAAGCAAGAAGAACCTCATGCGCTACAAGGGATTCACCGCCTACAGCTGGGAATATCAGCAGAATTTTGGAAGCTGGATTGTACCGTCAAAGAGAATGGCCTCCATGGTTGGCATGCCCATGATCCAAGCTTTGCCCCCAAGATCCTCGCCCTCGTGAAGTCGTATGCAGGGAAGAGAGAAGAGGCCAAGGACTTGATTGATGATGAGTTCAATCGAGAAAAGGCTCAAGGAGATGGAGGGCCACAGGATCCAGAAGAAAGGAAGTTGGCGGAGGACAAGAAGCAGGATTTTGTGGAGGAGGAAATCCCAGAGCCTCAACCTCGACTCCTACATGCTCGATCCACGCCAAGGAGTACAGCTCAAAAGACGGTGAGTCAGGAGCATGAGAAGGGAGATGGCAAGAAGATGAAGATGACAGTCGAGAAGCCTACACATTCGCTGGAGGCATCAACACCGGAGCCCAAGAGATTGAGACAGCAGGATGAGCCCAATACCGAAAGGAGAGTCGAGATCACACAGGTCGGGGAGGACTCTTACTACCATATGGACTATATCATCGGTGAGGAGGAGATGGCCGTGTGGAACTATGAGAATGAAGAGGAGGAAGTGACAGCTCTGGAGATTCCAGACGCCTTGTGGTCCAACGCGCCTCTTGATCGAGTTCCTCCAGATCCACCCAAATGGATTGATGATTTGGCAGACTCCATAGTCCCACCTGTCAGGCCTGCAAGACCAGGCATCCATGTGGACACCCCTCTCGTCCTCAAGGGCTTACTTGGTGGCAGTGGTGTAGGACCGTCAGGTGTTCCTCAATCAATTCGCGCTCGTCCAGGGTATGGGCAAGGAGGTAATCGGAGGCGCTTCAAACTCTAGGGTCAGGTACCCACCAGCACTGATTGCGAGCAACTCGCTACACCAGTTCTTGACGGGGCCCGGGGTGAGGGTGTGGGTCCTGCCCTCTCCTGTCCCTGAGCTCGGGAGAGATGCTATGCAAATCTCCGTCCTAGCTCCGCTACCATGCGGACAGGATCTTTTGACCTCAAAGGGGGCCTGCGGTTCAGTCAAATCTGAGTGGACCTATTCTCGCAATATACATATATATATATATATCACACCCTTAACAATAGCAGTGGTGGTATTGGGGAGTAGTAGTAGTAGTAGTAGTAGTAGTAGTAGTAGTAGTAGTAGTACTAGTAGTACTAGTAGTACTAGTAGTTCTAGTAGTTCTAGTAGTTCTAGTAGTTCTAGTAGTAATAATAGTAGTAGTAGGGTTGTCATTGTTTAGAACTTTTGCATTCTGGTCCTGGCCGTGTTGAGGAAATAACTGGACAGATAGATAAAATAGTAGATAAGAAAAATTTGATAGATAAAATAGATAGGATACGTATGATAGATAGATAAAGATAGGATAGGATAGATCGGATAGATAAGGATAGATAAGGATAGATAGGATCGATAGGATCAAAAGGATGGATAGGATGGATAGGATCGATAGGATAGGATAGGATAGGATAGGATAGGGTAGGATAGGGTAGGGTAGGGTAGGATAGGATAGGATAGGATAGGGTACGGTAGGGTAGGGTAGGATAGGATAGGATAGATAAGATTTCCTTCCTTACAAGCCAAAAGCCACACAGAATCCAGAAGCCACGAATGCCACAGAAGCCACGAAAGCCAAAAGCCACAGAAGCCAGACGCAAAAATACACTATCCGTGAAACAAAGAAATCCTAAAATATATGGCCCTCCCCGGGACATCCAGGAACCAAGAAGACCAGAGGGACCAAGAGATCAAATGGACCAAGGGGATCAGGGGACCAAGAGAGGATTGGGAGACCAAGGGAGGGGACCAGGGGAAAGGGACCAAGGGACCAAGGGGACCAAGGGACCAAAGGACTAAGGGAACCAAGGACTTTTTTGGATGCCTATATGTTTTCTTTTGATGCCTATTAATTGTTTGATCCCTATGCCTATCCCACAACAACTTACAACCACCAAACTTGCAAGGCATTGGCTCAAGTTGTTCCATCCATTGTGACACCAGCCAGCAGCTGCTGGGAGCTATTGAAAGCTACTCTTATTGTGCCTACCACGTCCAAGGCACCTGCAACTGCGATAAGGGCTGCAGCCTCACTCTCATGGAGCAGAAATTGTTTCCGTGCCAAGGGCGCGTCCTTGGTGCAGAACAGAATCAAACTAAAATCAGTCGAGTTTTATGCCAAACGCGGGCCCCCACATTGTCAATAGGCAGGAAGGCTGCACCAGCCTGATCTCAAAAAGGGTTTCAACCGTGAGTTTTCCATCTCAAAAAGGGTCCTGCCTTAAGGGTACCAAAGACAGCAATGACTTGCGCAACACATCGGTCCATCATGAGGGCTACGACCTCAAAAACTGATCTTCATAAGCAGCACCAGATCACAGCACAAAAGAGAGCGGCAAAACAGCAATGCAATCAGAGATGGTATCCAACCTAATAGCAATGGCCTCCAGCAATAAAATGCAGCAAGCATTCTGACGACACAAGTGTGCTACTGCTTCGCATGAGATGCCCAGTGAGATCAGGCATTCTGACACCTCAACGCGGTCTTGCTGTGTGAGCTCAGGTTTGAAGCGACAAATCTCCCACGCTCAAGGCTTGCTGGGCCTCATCCACACAAGCCCCGAGTTCTTGATAAGAAATCTCCTTCATACTGTGCAGCAACGTGATTGGTCTTTCCTTTTTGCAGTGAAAGAAAATATGCCGTAAATGTGTTATTGTCTAATTGCTCGAAGCTGTTGAAGCCTTGGAGCTTCTGCCTGTGTCAGGCACCTTGGCACTTTTGCCCGCAAAGCTGCAGTTGGGAAACTGAATGAGGAAACTGGGACTGGCGCGACCAAGGCCACTGCGGACGGATTGTTCTGCATTCAAGATTGTGTCTGTTGAACACATAATCGACTCTTCGTTACTCTCGTGTCGTTACCCAACTCAACAAACCAAGACCAAAACTGTGTGGACCGGTCCTTGACCTGATCGTCAAAGAGCTCTATGACTCTCCTGTGCAGGACTGGGAGTGCTATATTAATCTGTTGAACCATGTTGAACCCAGGTCTCTTCTGAAACCAGTTCTCTTGACAGCACCTTTCCTCATCCACCTACGAAATCCTACAAATACCCACAGCCTCAGCCTTCTTTGGGGCAAGGCTTGCAAGCGGCTCGCACGGATGGTTCTCCGTGATTCATTATCAATGGCAAGATCTTCATGGATTGCCCAGGATGAAGTCCGGCAAACGCAGCGGCTTGCCGTTCAGCAGACTCGGCACAGGTCCCAGAAGACCCATCGGTGGCCTATGCAAATTGCCAATCTTCATGCTATGACTCAATGAGCAATTTTGTGAAGCAAATTGGAAAAATACAATGCCAAAATAATGATATGACAAACTCTAAATAGTTCATATTGTTTTAACAAAGTCCTGCTATTCCATGGCCCATGTGGTCAGACTATGGCTTTGTTCTGTCTTCGACTAGTCGTGTCATCACACTTTCAACACATCAATTCGGCTGAACAGAATGAACACGACCAGGAGCAGGGACGCTACTAGGGGCTCCTGGCCGTACTACTAGGAGCAAGGACGCTACTAGGAGCAAAGGGCATCGAAGTGAGGTGATGTTCAGTCGCAGCCCTTTTCAGCCTCAGCTCCCCATAGCCCCGCTCACGTCGAGGGCGGTCACTTGGCCGTGGCCGGCTGATCACCTGTATCAGGGAGAGAGGCTTTGGCTTCATCCTGTTCTTGTGTCATTGCAGTAGTAGCAATAGTAGCAGTAGCGGCAGTGGCAGTAGCGTACGGAGCAAAGAAGTTAAGTCCACGACCTAAGGCAAGCATGGTTGTGAGGCTTGTGAGTATAAGTGGTTGTACTTTTTTTGGACCTGCTTCTTGATCATTTCCGGCCTTTTCATCATTCAGCTTCTGACAACTGTCGGACAAGGACTCCCAGGTATTGGATGGAGAGTAATTGATTCCCAGCAAGCCGTTGATCTCATCTGCTAGCTCAACAAACTGCGGATCCTCCCAAGTACTAAAGTTTTGCTAAAGTAAGTCTATTTTGCTGACACAAGCAACTTTGACTCTTCAATGGATCATCTGTATATTCGGCTTCATGCCTGAAGATTCATGCAGCAATTCAAGTAGAATCCGAAAAAGGCATGGTTGGGTCCTTTATGTAAGGCTTCATGTCACCCATCATCTTGTAAACTCCATTTGAAGTGCCCTCATAGCCATATCTTGGCAGCACTTTGCTTTGCACTGTGAGGAAGAGTTTCTGCCTCATCGCCAAGTGTGTCAAGGAGAGGGCAACACAAACAGCGGACGTTCCCAACATCCGCTACAAACGAGCCTCTCTGCGAGAAACTTTGTCTTCGCAAGTTCTCCACGCTCGCATTGCTCTTGCAGCTTCCGGAGCTTTTCCTGCATGGTGGATTATCCACCCACTGTCACAAACAAGAGAAGCATGCACTACTTTTTACCCGCTCCTGAAAGGTATCCTCAGCAAAGCCTGCTCTCAGCTCTTTCTGCAGAATCAAAAAGTCTTGCAAAGACGATGGACTTGCAATGCACTCCTCAGCAATGTCCTGGAATCAACACCCCAAAAATGAAAAATAAAACATTGGGCCGCCACAGGTTGCCGTTGCATGCCGTTGCTATTTTCAGCTAAAGGTGACTGAATGTGCACTGTCCTTCTCACCCAAACGGATTTCCAAACCTTCTTCTGGTGGTTCTCCATCAAAGCCAGCAAGCAGTACCTCTCGGACTGACCCAACAGCATCCTTGTCCTTGTAGGGTCGGTAGACGCCTCCTGCTCAGTGGACAATGACAACTGTTCACAACCGCTTCACAATGCCATGCATCCACACCTGCTTTACACTCATATGTTCATGAGAGAAATAGTTTACTGGGTGAATGTATTAATATGTTGTTTGCTATTGGTCAGTTCTTGATTGTTCGCTAGACTATTCCTTGCTGCCAATTGTGGACAATAGTGGCATTCCGAACTTCAGAACAAAAGGTTTGCAGTCTGAGATTGCACCAAGCACCCGCAACGTGTGCTTCCCACAAAATGGTTGCGAAGAGTTACTGTATATACATCATGTTGCATTCCCGCCTCCCTTATGCATGAGCTGCCCTTGGAAGTCAGAGCTGTCCTGTCACAGATTGGAGCAGCTGTAGCTGTTTCCACAAAGAACCCTTCGTTGAAAACAGGTAGTGGTGTTTGGGACCTAGTATATAGTTCTCCGAAGAATTCTGGAAAAGGCACAGGCCCGAAGGTTCGGTCCTGCTCGAAAAATTTTGCAACGGCTTGCTTCACATGCTTAAACAAAGATTTCTCCGGCAGAAAGACACGGATTGCCCACCCGTGTATAGCATGCGACACCGTCACTTGAATCTCGCTTGCCACTGGCTCATCCATGGTCTCAAGCAAACGAGGCTGAGAGTTTGCTTCCTTTGCATCCACTTTTGCCTCGTTTGCCTCTTCTTCTCCTGAGTATCTTCGTATCTTGTTTGTCCATCGTTGGTGAGTAGTCCGCCAATTTTGACTTTACACGGTACGGTTTACCAACACAAGGGCACTTGTTTGTTTGTAACCGATTAAGAAGTTCCTTCGCACAATCTGCGGAAGCCAGTAGGGTCCAGACCGATCGAAATGGCTTCGAACGAAAGGACGCCCGACTGCTAACCTTTTTCCGGTAGCAGATTAGCTCAAGGTCTAGTTGGCCGCGGTACACAGCGTGTCATGCCATGTGCGAAACCAAGTCCGGTGACCGACACAAAATTTCTCATCCGTCTTGTTTTATTGTTGGTTTCGCACCCGGCCTAGCCTCGAAAAAGCTCACGAGCCGTAGGGCCCGCACAGGCAGAATCTCCTGGGGATTTGGGACATCCAAGAGGTCTGCTCGCTCTTCAAGAATCCTCCATTTTGGTAGACTCTTGGTTCTGAATTCAGCCAACGTCGTCCTCAGAGCGAACTCTCTCAGCTGGAACCTTGGCGCAGGGCTTCGAAAGCTCTTTGCATGCGTGGCCACACGCACACCTATGTTCTCTTTCTCCTTGTAGTGCCATCCAGCCGAGAGGGCGTAGAAGTCGACATGGTTCATCAGCTCGAAATCCTCAGCTCCCACATCACGTCCTGGAAGCTCACTTGAGACATTCACGAGGTCGGTGTCTTTCTTCTTCTTGTAGGTCCGTTTGATGAACTCTGGCTGGTACTCGATGGGCCATTGCCCCCGCTGAACCGTCTGGCGGAAATGAGCACTGTCCGTCATCTTGGTGCCACAGTCGATGAACATGTTCTGAGTTGAAGTCCATCTGTACTGAGTCTGTGGTCTCCTCAGCCGTTGCCTGATGTTGGCAATGCTGAACATCAAGGACTTCTGATTGCCAAAGCCGACATCAGAGGTGACTCTGTCGTAGCAATCTTTTGCGTCCGTGACCCCAGTCAAAGGCACATTGGTCACCAAGAGGTACCCATTCTTGTGGTGCGCTGGATAGCCCAGCGCTTCTGCCAAGAAGCCGCGAGCCAACTCGCCTGCATCAAGACCCTCCTCAGCACCGAGCGTCTCAGCTGCGTAGCTTGAGCGAGCCACGCGTGGAATGCGGTGAGAACGGTAGTCCAGCACTGAAAAACGGCCTGCTTTCCGCTCAACAAAGCTTGGTCTCCCAGCAACACAATGTAGCAGCTCTGAGAAAACACCTTCTTTGAAGGTTCGCCAGAAATGCAGCCGTTGTTGTCGACATTTCCTAAGGCAGCAACACTCACAACCACCACTCCACCCTCCTTCAAAGGAATGTGGCCAAACTTCAGGAAGAAGTCACCATTCTTCTTGGCGTCAATGACGGCCTTGTTGGCCTGCAGAAGGGCGCTCACCGTGTGTGGCGCAGACTGCAAAGTGCTCACTTGGAAACCAATGTCGAACCTCACCTGTGCTACAAGCCACTGTAGTGAGCCCAACAAGCCTCTCAAAGTCTTCACTTCAGAAGGCGTCAAAGGTGCCTCCAAGTTGGAACGTCTGTTCTGTGGGATTGTGATCGGCTTCAACTGCCGGTGGTATGTCATCATGTTGACATGGATCTCACGGGTCTCTTTGTCTCAGTAGATGCGCTTGCCGCACCAAACAAAATCTTCCTCCTCCACTCACCCATAGCCAAGGATTTCTCCCAGGCGCGTGAGACTGCTCAAAGCTTCTTTGTCTCCAGTAAAAAGCAGATCATCGACCTGCCCCACAATGACTCCATTCAAGGCTTTGCTCTCACCTTCGCCACCTTTCCAGCGAAACCACAACGCACCATCCAGCATGCTGCGACACCAGCCTTCTTGCCGAAGTTCTCGGTCAAGACGAAGCCACCATTCACGAGGCGCGTCAGCCAGTCCAAACACGCCCTTCAGGACGCGAGCAACGGCTCCTGCTGGAATTGGGATTGTTGGTCCCTTGGATCCATCAGTCCCCTTGATGTACAAGGTGCGCTTCAGGTATGGATCACCTTTCAAAAAGGCAGCAGCACTGCGAAGGAACCAGGAAGGATTGGCACCTGCTATGCAAAACAGAAGACGTTGTGCCAGTCTGCTGCCAGTTGGAGCATCTCTTCGAAGTTCACCTTGCAAATTGGCAGCGTCCTTGTACCCTGGCACGATGATCCTCGAGCTTGCTTTCAGCGGAAGTGGGCAGTCAGCTGTGCGCAACCCAGCGTTCTTGTCCGTGAGCACCAGCCTAGGACAAAGCACTCGGTCAAGTTGACCTTTTCGCTCAAGATCTTGAAGAACTGCACGGCTGTCAGCAAGGAAAGAACTTCAATGGCACTATTCTCAACCCATTTCTCCCACTGCTCTCTGGTCGCAACACGAAAAGCTTCTCGCGTGGCCTCATCCAGCTGCCACCATCGCATCTCCTTGTGTCCTCCGCCAGCTTGAGCTTGAAGAGTCTCGTGAGGTTCAGGGTCCTCGCCCACAGGCCACATCCAGCCTGCCATCTCAGCACCTCCCATGAGCTCCTCGATGGAAGAGACCATCTGCTATCCCATGTGCCATGGTCATGTTCTTGATGACGACCATCCATCAGATCATCTTGCGCTTCCACCATTGCTCGAAGAAGTGGATGGATGTTCGTGTCTTGCTCAGCCAGAAGAACATCAATCGTCTTGCCACCACTCAACACCAAAGGAACAAAGGTTCTTCCTTTGGCCTCTCGCTCTTCAGCAGCTCCTTCAGACAAGGCACGACGAACTGCACCCTGTGACCTCTCCATTCTCGAAGGCCTGGATTCAGCTGAAGTAGAAGGCTCTGCATTGGCGTGAGCAGTTTGAGGATCAACTGCATTCAGTGTAGTCGTGCTTGGCGCTTCTTAAGGTTCTTGTTCACGCAAAGGACTCCCTTCTTCTTCCTGAGGAACAGCTGGCAGTTTCGGTGCTTCTCCTTCTGCCCCATCAGTCTGGGTAGTAGAGCTCTGTCGTGAAAAAGAGGAAGCCATAGGCATAGAGCTCTGAGAAGTGCGTCTGAACCAGCTGCTGAAGAAGCTAGCAAAGGAATCATCTCACTGGCTTGAAAAGGAAAAGGATAGGTGACTGCTGGAGGTGTCTTCCCAGCATCACCTGTTCTTGGAACCAAGCCGTCATGGCCAGGATGGTCTCCGCCTCCTTGGTCATCTTGGTCCTCATCATCATTTCCACCGCCATCACCGTCTCTGTCGACATCAGGTTCGGTGGGATCATAGTCATCATGATCATCATCATGGTCATCGCCTGGCTCTGCTGTATCTTCAGGAGGTTCATCAGGTCCTCCAGAAGCTCGGATCACCTCCGAAAGGATTTCCTCCCATTCAGCTGCTGAGAGTCGCTCCAGTGTCGAAGCAGGTCGAAGGTGTTCAACGGCGCACTTGGTCAAATTGCCTCGGTAAGCGACATAGGCACCAGTTGGAACCTTGCCACCCTCAAGCGCCATGATCATGCCAGGACCATGCCATTGGTTCAACCCCAAGCGCTTTCTTTTGGTGCCCCTGCCAGCCATCTTCTGCACCCTGTAGAAGTAGACCACATCTCCAAGTTGGAACGTTGTCCATGAAGCAGCTCTGCGTGCTCGGCTGAACTCCGCACGACGTAGAGATGCACTGTACTTCATCTTGATCATGGCTACTCGTGCGCTCTCTTTCATTGCTACTCGTGCGCTCTCTTTCATTGCCATCTGCCTCGTAAAAGACGGGGTGTTCTCAATCAAGGAGTGAGAAGCAAGGCGCAGCCGCAGGTCATTGGGGATCACCTCACCAAGCGTCCTGGGTTGTGCTCCCAGCACAAACTGAGCTGGCGAAAAACCAGTCTGGCCGCCTGGCCTACATCAGCATTGCAGGCATCAACAGCAGCCGCCAAGGCACCTTGTAGGTCATCTCGTCCTTGACAACTGAAGTCTTTGATCAGCTTGCCCGTGATCACCTTTAGGGATCCGCCTGCTCTCTCCGCCAAGCCGTTGGCCCATGGACTTTCCACTGGTATGTGGCACAGGACGACGTCTTGCATCTTGTCCGAGGTGAACTCTGGGCCACAATCAGAGACAACCACCTTGGGAGCTCCCAAGATGGGGATCCATGAGCTCTGAAAAAACTTCACCACCTCATCCGCAGACTTTGCCTCCATCATCTGTGCAACCTGGTAGCCGGACACGGCGTCGATTCCATGCGTGATCCAAAAGTTGCACCATGCAAGTCTTTCACTGCCACCAAGTCCACATGAACCTGATCGCCAAAATGGCGTGGTTTTGGCAAGCTTGAAGGTTGGTGAGAGGCAGGTCGACGATTCTCCATGCAGGTCTCACACTTGAGCTCTTTGGCAGCCTTGATCACCTCAGGGCATGCACCAGCAATGGCTAGGGCTTTAGCTAAGCGAAGTGGAGATCTGTGTCCAGTGTTCTGGTGCAAACGGAGAACTGCCTGCTGTTGAGCCTTCGTGGGCTGAACTGTGTCTGGAAAAGGCACATCCCCCTCAAAGTCCTCCTCATAGGGATCTGCCAGGTCCATAGGAGGCGCATCATCACCCAGCTCAGGTTCAGCTTCAGCTGCATTGGCTTCAAAGCAGGTGTCGAAGACCTCATTGCCTTCATCCTCAAATTGTCGTTCCAAGCCACGAACGAAAGCTTTTGCCAAATCCGGTGGATAGCGACCTGCCAACAAACCAGGCTCTTCCAGTAGCTTCTTCAAACTGGCTACTGACTCCCATGCCAAGCTGCGAGAGGGGTTCTCCATGATGAAGTGTTTCTTCCGCCTCAAGCTAGGGCCACTGCAAAGTTCACCAACTTCACATGCTTCTTTCTGCGCCACTTCAACAAGGCGGCGCGATGTCGATCACGAGCACGTAGGGCATGCAAGGGTGACCATGGACCACATGGGAAGGCAATGACTTGACAGTAAGGATCATCATCTTCCACCTGCCAAAAGGCTCTCCTCTGGTCAAAGCCTGTGGCTAAGGTCACGCTTTCCATCGTGCTGTGGCCACGAAGCTCTGCCTGTTTCTTCGCCTGTTCAGAGTCCGTGAAGGTCTCACCAACCAAAGGAAGTTGTCCAGCTGCATTGAAGTTGGTCTCCATGGCCTCTCTATAGGCGAAGTTCTCATACTCAGGCAAGGGCGGCATCTTCACTTCAACAACGAAGGGCTCCTTGACGCCCTCAATGATTTCCATCTTGAGGTTATACTCAGAAGCCTCCAAGATCTCATGCACTTCATTGAAGTCGATGGAGAGAGCTTCATGCAACCTGCGAAGACGAAGAAAACCTTGATGCACAGCTTGCTTGAGCCCTCGCTTCATGGTTGCAAAGGCCTTCTTGGTCATCTTCCCAATGCCGAGACTCACAGCAGATCGCCCTCGTTCAGGCCCCCAGATCCACATGCTCCAGATCCTGCATCAGGACTCTTGTTGTCTCCTCCCAAGCGGCCCCGTCCATCTGGAGATGAAAGAAGGACGTCTCGGACATGGGGCTGTCCTCCACCTGCTCCACATCCCAAGCCTGTCGCTCAGGTCGCGGCTCTTGAAGTCTGTGGACCCTCAAGTGAGCTGCTTGAAGCCCTTGAAGCGCGGCGAAACCATCTTGCGAATCGAGAGAGGCCAGATTCACTATCTGTGGTGTTCGAGCTGCTGTGGGCTTGGGCTTCGGCTTCACTGCTGCTGTCGATGACGATCGCGGGATGTCTGGCGCTTCCCAGTTCGGCTTCCCGATCAAGGCCTTCACGATGGGCTGCAGCTGCTTCCTGATCTGATCGACTGTGGCTTCTCGGTCGACCTTCTCGTTCAGCAATGCGGCTGCTTTGACCAGCTCGTCCTTGAGCCTCGGCAATCCTCCTCTTGGCCCGAGTAAGGCGCGAAGTTGCTGCGTCCTCTCTTCTCGACTCAGCTGCAGCAATCTCATTGTCTCTTGAGCCGCTGCTTCTTGCAACTTCTTCCGAGGTTGCCGCTTCAATGCCACCAGGCCGAAGGTGATCGCATCGTCCTCCATAAAAAGGCCAACAGCAGACCCATCCGATCTCGAAGATGAGCACACTCCTTGAGGTGGAAGATGGTGCGCAGGTTCCCGATGTCTTCCGCCTGTGCCAAGCGCTCGGCCATGCAAACCTCTCCACCATGGCGTTCACCTGCTCCTGCCATGCGCTCACTGTGGTCACTGACGGCAAAGGAGGTGGTAAAAACCTCAAGTATGGCCGCTGAATCAGCCAAAGAAGAATTCCATGCCAGTGCCACTTCACTCGAGTCTTCAGCCGAGTGATCATCCTGGACCAAGGGAAAGCTGCTCTGCTCTCCGGCTGACGGTTCCCATGAGCGATCCATCGCGGTGGGCCGGGATGCATGGTGAAGCCAAGCGTCCGGATTTTGCTCCAAAAAAGCTTCCGGTAAAAATGCTCTGTCACTTGACTCTCAGGCACAGATGCTTCAGTTTCTTTAGCAACCACTTCTGCTTGCTACCAACTTGTACTTCACAACAGGACCCCTTGCCGATGACGATCCACTTGGAAGACGAAACCGACGGCCATCGAGTCAAAGGAGTTGGCAAACAAGGAATAGAGAAGCGTCCTGCTTTCAGCTTTCGAAGGGGAATCCACTGTCTGGGGCCAACAGTTGTAGTTGAAGTCGGTTTCCCATGAAGTCCAACAAGGCTCCAAGCGCATCTAGAGCGTCTTTCCCCAACAAAAGCCCCAAAGAACTGCAAGGAACCGCTGAAACCCATACCAAAACAATCTTGCCCGCAATCACGAAGGGTAGCCGAACACGTTCTTGTGAGGTCAGTTGTCCACCATTCCCGAAACGAAAGCGTTCACATTCCGGAACTCTATGGATCAGCTCTCTGACATAGGAAGGGGCCAGTTGTAGTGCTTGAACTGTATGCTGGATCCATGTAGTTCCGGCACATGAGCGATTGCAAGCACTGTCTAAGGCAGCCTGCAAGATTTTGTCTTCTGAAAGCTTTGAAGTTGATCCGCTCAGAGACATCAATGCCTCCGTCAAGCATTCACCAACTGCCACATCATGAACCTGTTCGGTCACTGCGACATCATGGACCTGTGGTAGGTCGGTGGCAAAAGAAACACTGCGGTGCGAAGGCAAAAGGTCAATGACATTCACCTCCGCGACATGAGACTCTGTGGTCTTCTTGTCCTTCAGGGCCGAACCGAGGCGACCCTTCTTTCCACCAGCTTTTCCAGCTTTGCCACCAGAAGAACCACCCGCAGAGCATTCAGGATCTCCCTTCCAATGGCCTTCACGGCCGCAGGCATGACATTGCCCAGCTTTCTTCTTGCCAGGCGGCCCAGCAGAACACTGGGCCTCTGAAGCCACGATCCTTCCGCAGCGATGCGATTTGAGCACGAGCTTCTCGCAAAGTCACCAAGGCCTCGACAGCACCGTCGAGTTGTTCTTCCAAGCTTTCCAGCTCGGCGCCATCGCAGCCCTCTTGAGCTGCAGCTTCCAGTTCAGAAGCCAGAACTTCAATCTCTTCCTCCAAGGCATGAAGAGCTCCATCATCTCGAGTTGAGTCCTCAGGCATCTCTTGAGCTTGACTCTCAAGAGCATCATAGGGCTCCATCTCATACTCCTCAGTCTCAACCAAGGGGTCTTGCTCAGCAACATTGACAGCTGATGCACCAAGGCTCATGCGAGAACCACGAGAGAAGTTAGAAGAGCTCGTTGACACTGAAGTTGAAGCCGAGGAAGAAGGTCTCCTCCAAGTTGAAGTGCCTCCTTTGCCAGATCCAGGGCGACCCATCATAGGTCTCTTCCATGGCGTCGAAGGAGCTGGCGTTCCAACCATGTGGATCCGCTTGAAAAGGCGAACCGCCTCACGCTCACACTCAGCGTAAGACTCTGCAGTGCCTCCAAGGGTCGTCTCCAGCATTTGCTTCTGCACCTCGGTCAAGCTCAGCTTCTGTTTGTAGAACCAAGCACTTTCGGCATCGTCCAAAGCAATGGCTCATTGGACCTCCTCTTCAAAGTCATGTAGAAGCGTTCACGGAGTTCACCTTTCTTGTCGCTGGCTGTCTTGCCAACCATTGTCTCCCAGGCCTCAATGAGGCGCCAAACTCCACAAGTGTAGTCGGCCACCTTCAGGATGATCTTGTCCCCGTCAGGGTTGTCAGGGTGTTCAACAGCTTCTTCTGGCACATAGGACCAATCCTCAGGCGAGAATTCCAGTGCCCTCATCCTGGCCGAACCTTTCTGCTTCATGGCAAACCTGGCAGCCAAGTTGAAACCTTTCGTCTTCGTGAGGTCGATCGAAGACAACCACCAAGTCACCGTCCTCCTGAACTCTCTCAGAGAGTCAGCTCTTCCATCCCAAACGGGGATAGAGGAGTCGAAGCCTGACTCTGACCAGCCTCCTGCATAGCCATGTCCCTTCTCTTCTGACATTGGTCGAGTTCAACCAAAAATGCACTCCACGTTCTTCTTGTCGTTGGCGAAGTCCACGTAGGGGTCGTTCGACTTGAGCTTCGGCGAGCTCAGGTGGCCAGCAAGGCCAAGCAAAGCATAGTGGCACCCACGGTCACCTCAAGCGTCTATGTGGCCGCAAAGGGTGTCACAAAGAAAGCCGTAGGGCTCCTCAAAGCGTGGTGGGCTCAAAGGTCACGAGGATCGCCAAGCCAAGGCTCCGCGCAACCACTGCGGAAACCAGTAGGGTCCAGACCGAACGAAATGGCTTCGAACGAAAGGACGCCCGACTGCTAACCTTTTTCCGGTAGCAGATTAGCTCAAGGCCTAGTTGGCCGCGGTACACAGCGTGTCATGCCATGTGCGAAACCAAGTCCGGTGACCGACACGAAATTTCTCACAATTTGTATTGCTGATCACAGCTGGTAAGATATGGGAGGGAGATCAAATACAAAAGTGTTCTTCGGGATTTTCTACCAAATACGAACCAAGACACCTGAAAGCTCGTCAAAGTCAAACATGGCTCGCACCGGACGCAATGTTGAGCGAAACGGCTTTGGTGTTCATGGAAAGTTCAAAAACCACAGTTTGACAAGACGGACTCTGGTATGTGTTGAACTGCATCCAAGCTCGTGGTTACACTACAATATCAATATAACCCCTTTGGAGAAGCGTCGAATGCAAGGCAGCTGCGTGGCTGTCCTTTCTGCTGGATACTTTGGTGTGGGCCTCGCTCAGTTTCAGTGACAACCCCCAGTCACCTATCACAATCCTTCAACTCCGCTGCCCTTTGGGTTCCAAGCCCTACAGCCAGGTCCACAGAACTGCAAAGCTGCGAGGCCTGTCATAGCTGCTGCAAAGCTGACTTAAACGAAGTTCAGAACCTTTGGATGTAAAAAGACTTTGCAAAAGGAAAAGTTGAAAATTTTGCCTAAAAAAGAATAAAAAACACGTCCAAAGCAACTTTGGTCAGTTATCTGTTTTCTTCAAAGGCTTTTGGAGCGAACATATGGATTTGTCGCCTCAACTAAAGGAGCAGCACTGTCAGCACTAAGACGCAACGCCTGGCGAGAGTCTCAAACTCCTATGTGTTCATAATGTGAACTTGCACATCATATTTGTCTTAGTCAAAAGTTAGTGAAGAATCAGCTTGCTGACCCGCTTGGAGCGGAAGTACTGCTTAATGCGATTAAAGCCACGGGAAATAGTTGGCCTCAGCCAAGTTGACACGAGTCTTCTAGGATGTGTGTTGCGGCATGTGTTGTGCTGACCACATTCAAGCTATATAAATGGTACTTTAGATGGTACTTCTGAAGAGATTGATGCTTAATTAGCTTCAAGACAACTTGGGAGGGCACCACAGGTGCACGATTATGCAAACCACAGCCCAAAACCTTGCCAAGTATAGAGTTGTGGCCATGACAAATGGCATGAACTACTACCAAATGTAATGAAGCTCTTGAGACATTCAATGGTCATTGTTTCCTTCCAGTTGCTTGGACATCCAACAAGAAACAATGAGCTAGCTAGGTCTCAATGCTGCGGTCACCCAACAGTCATTTGCAACGACTATATATATATATATACAAAGTGTCATGCCCAGATTAACAGCACAACTCCAATGGAAGTAAGGTCGGCACAGAGCATATATGAAGAGAAACAATGCTTTATCCCAACCTCATTCTCCGAGCGAATGCCGCCGCATGTCGTTCGGAAAAACTGTTGCCAGCCTGTCCACGCTGTGTTAGGGTCCCGCCAATCCTGTCATGGTGGAAATAACATGTTTCCAATCTGTCAAATTTAAACAAACATTGACAGGAATACATAGATAAAGTTACAGGATGGTTCCAAAATTTGCCACCCTGTCCTTTGTGAATAGAAATTCATCAATGGGAGGAACTGCTCCTTGCGACCTTCAGTTAGTCTAAAGCCAGCACACTAAACACAAAACTGTAAGTGCAAGATGGTGTCTGGCACTGTGAGAAATGTTGGCCGCTGCCATGGACGTTGTCCAACCAACAGCGACATGTTCAACAAATTGTAAATGCGGCCACGCAGAGTCAGAAGTTGGGTTTTGTAACGAATAACGAAAGATTCTGCAAATGATGGTCTTTTTGACAACTTTGGAGTACAGCAAAGCGGTGTGATTTTTTTGTGCAAAAGCGCTCACATCATCTTGCGCTGCTCAGCAAAAGCTGGAAATGGCTGCGGCACAAACAGGAATGGTGTGGAAGTGAAGAATATGCAATGTAGTTGGATAAGTGATTCAATGCAATGGACTGCAAAATACGCTGTGTTATCCCGCAAGAGTTTCGACAAGCGAAAGGCCTGCCACAAAAGACTTGAGGGTGACATGTTGTTCAAACGCTGCGCTGAACGAAATACAACCTGAACTCCAGTTTTTTGGCAGCTTACATACCAATGAACACAGTCAAGTGCGGACTGCCACGCATTGCAACGTGTCCTATCAAAACTGGTTCTGTGCATCATGACCGAAACTCGTACTCTTAAAGCCTCCTTTCATTCCACTTGCAACGGAACACTGCGGCGTCGATCAAAACACGTCCACTTCACAGTTCCAATGCTCAACACGCTGCACATTTTCAGGCATGGTCGTGACAAAATGTTTGCTGTCCAGGTGACTTAAGATTGGATGGGCGCGAACTCGCGAACCAAACTAAAATCAAACCATGTCAAAACAAACGCGTTTTTCCGTCCGCGCACTGTCACTCCACAGCTCCGTTTTGAAAACCCACAGACCTTCCTTGTTTACCATCACGCCTTCCCTGACGTGCCAGTCGGGAACCTGCATTACCGATTGCAGAGAATGGCAAAGCCAGCCTGTTAGGGCTGTGTGATCTTCGGCATTGCTTCTGGCTGAATATGTGCTAGACGCGTTTTCCAAATGACGGCGGTTGAACAAGAAGCGGCCAAGACCTCTTGGAGGGAGATAGATTTCATCATCTCCATCGGGGCCAGTTGTTTGGTACCTGCCCTCACTGCATTTGGCCCCTGGGGAGTGAGACACTTTGTGCCATGGTAGAGTGCAGCATTCCCTGTACATACACAGCCCGACACACTGGGGTGACAGGCATTGCGGGTCTTCACTGCCACTGCGTTGGTTGCACATCATATACTGCTGCAAGTATGTACGAGTTATCTTTGGAGCTGCCGCCTGGCGCCTCGATGACCTCCTGAGGCTCGTTGTCAGTGGGCGGTGGGCTTAGTCACCGCCTGCGACACGCAGCTCTGTACAGTGGCATCGCGATTTTTGTACAAAGTCTTAGTGCCCCACTGTCTCACCTCCCTGGGCGTGTGCAAGTGCATGGTTAGCGGCAAAGGTAAGCAACCGTGTTTGCCAACTGAACTTGCTCTTTCCCACCAAGCCCTTCTTTTGCGCCAATCGGGCAATGGATTGCCACCAATAAGTGCTACAGTTCCTAAACACCTCACTCGACGTTTTCCAGCGATTAGTCGAGAGTTCGCACAACTCGCCCCGCATGCATTCGCACAGGGGGTTGGCAACCTGCAATTGCGTCTGAACATTCTCAGGGCTTCCAATTCCAGCGGTCGCCGATCAAACAAGTCAGGAGGCACTAGCCGACCAAATTGTTTTAGCAAGCCAGTGGGCATATCTGATTGATTCAAAAAGGACACCAACCTTGCGGAAAACATGGGCCCACTTCACATACGGAAGCGCAGCCCGAATCGGACAACATCGGTCACCTCCGAAACCTCCGGAAACCCTTCCTGGTTCCTCCTGAACGCAAGCAAGGACACAAGATCTGCTTCAGATCCCTCAAAAACCTCCGAAAAAGCCTCCGAATCTCCGTCCGGACCTTCGGAAAAGAAGTCAGAAACCAAACTCTGGCTCTCACAACTCAGAAAAGACGAGTTCGACTCAACCTCCCAGGTGTCAAACTCAGAAGAAAAAGAGGCAAAGTCGTCCTGATCATCCTCCTTCCCCTTCTCAAACGTATTGGGCTTATGTTCACAAGACAAAACAGGAAAAGAAACAGACTCATCACCACAAAAACGAAACATACGACACACACACACACACACGAAAACGACTGCAAAGAACCAGGCTGAATGCACATCACTTCTCGACCCTTAGCTCTGGACTTTCCTGCCTTAGAAACTGGTCGCGCCTGCTCTGCCAGTGCTTCGTATGTGTTGTGACAGTGCTTTCTTCGGCGCTTCGTGCTTCTGGTGTCTCAGTCTCTCTGACCTCATCAACCTCCATGGGAGCTGGACCTTTGGTCGCTTTGCCACCGCGTTTGGTTTGACCTGGTTTGGAAATCAAATCAACCTTCAACCACCATGCACGCTCACAAATCCTAAGTGGAAAAACTGTACCACTACCGTTCTCAAGGACACTCTCTCGTGCCCCACCCAGTCGAGTCAGTAGCAACTGATCACATTCAACTTGATTCGAGCTACCACTACTCGCAGCATGACTACTGGGGTCTTACCTACCTTGAACTCTAAGTCTACCATCCCTGCAGTGGGAAGAATATGATCTCCTGCACCTCTCAGGATTGGAGCTGAACCTGAATACCACTACTTCACCTTGTACAGCTTCAACCAGTCCTCAGCAACATGTGACAAGTGGCACCTGCCCTGAGTGCTCAACAAATACTGAAGAAAATGAGTGACACTATGAACTACCGGCTCACTCGTGGAAAACCCTGACCTCTCACTCCTCGAACTCCCCGGGACAGCACTTGAAACCTCTCCAGCCTTTGACCTGACTTTTTGCACGGGTGGAGCCGCCATTCATGCAGGAAATGCGTAGGTCAGCTTGCCCTGTTTTTGAAAGAGTTTCTTGTATGAAGAACCTGGCAACAAAAACCACACCAACACAAACCACCAAACAACAACCGACCAGGGAAGAAAGCAGGAGGCTCTTGAATGTAAGTACAAGGTGAAACAGGTGTGAGAGATGAGTCGGGCGTTGAATTAATGCAAAAAGGCCACAAGATAAGCCTGGAGCCAAGTCCAAGTTGCTGACACTTTTCAAGGCCAGGTTTTGGCTTGGACGGGTGGGCCACCTTATGAGCGAGAGAAGCAGCCCGATTTGGCTTTGTGCTTGCAAAGGCGTGGGCAATCAGACCGACTTTAAACAGCAAGTCAGGAGGCATGGTTGTTTCTGTCCCTTGCGCTCATAATGTTTGTGGAAACCCACTGGTGACAAATCGTAACACGAACAAAAGGGCAATTCATTGCCAACAGCTTCGCAGCTGTTCAGCAAATTTTTTCTGTCAGTCCGATGGAGGCGGCTGTAATCAATCCTCAACCTCACGCAGCTAGGAGAAAACTTCTTGCCAGAATCTGGTTGGATGGCTTCTTGTCAGGACGCTTCTCCCAACAATCTGAGGCCACATGGCTGCTCTTGTGAGTTGGCTGACCACAGTCGACGAAGGCTATGAGCGATAACTGAAGCGTGGGCGGAATGTGACCTCTTTGAGGGTTCTTTGCCCATGCGCCGCAACTTGATTGGAAGCAAAATGCTCAAGATTCACACAACGCGAGAAAGTGGATCCGCAGATGGCAT